GTACGGCTGGAGCTGGGATCTCCCAATCTCGTCCGACGTTCTAAATGCCATGTCGCCCTGACGCCCTACCGGAGAACCCCGACCTCTGCGCCTGTGGAGCAACATGCCAATGCTGCGGTGATGCGTACGCGCAGTAATCTCATCCATAGTCCCATTGTGAGCCATTTTGTATGTGCATTTTTCTACAGGCCAATACAAAACACCTGTTTTTTTTTTGGAGGGGGTGGGGGTGTCACTGTAAGATTAAAATTTCTTAATGCACTAGTTTGCACAAACTACAAACTACTTTGCCGCAAACCACAAAACGCAAAAAAACATCATTTAAATAGGGCGTCTCCAACAGTTTTGCACCTGCCACCAGTTACGCAATCGCTCTTTTTAAATCCCCCGCAAACCATGGTTCAGCCTCCAAACCATTTAAATTATTTCACAGGGTTTGGGTTACTGATTTTCAATAGGACCGGGTTTGTTTTAACAGTGATTTTTTTTAAAATCAACTAACTATTTTATGTTTTTTATGTTAACACTAACTTTTTTGAAGTCAAAAATGATTCTTAGGTTATCTGTAAGAAAAGAAGGAACCAAATAAATAAAATTGAGAAAAGCAAACTTTTGTTAGCATTTAATAACACGCATAAGAAAAACACTTTATTTCCCATCTTTGTATCATCTTCCCTTTATTTGTGCTCCATTTACACTTGTGCAGGTTTTTTTAGCTAATTTCCATATTCCTCTCTTTCCATTAAGAACCGCATAACGAACTTCACTGAAAAAAGCTTCTTTTTTTAGGCATCCTGACTCAGAGGCAAATTTCAACAAATGAGAGGTCTGCTGACCGCATGCTGAGGAGAGGTAGAGGAGCAGAGAGGTTTAGGACAGCGAGCTAAGGAAGAGTCTGTTCCTTCACGCTGCAGACCTGCTCTGAAGGAAGGAAGGGAAAAAAATGCTTTCATTCCCTTTCCGACGCCACAGACAAACGAACCAGAAGGACTAAACTACAATTTGGAAACTGGAAGGTTTTTGGCCGCTTAAATCATCAGTTTGGGACTTTTGGCCTGAAGGCTGTTTGTTTCCGTTTCCCTGATTTATAAATAACAGTATATCATTGGAGAAAAGAGGCAGACCCCGCTTTGCCACAAAACCAATACAGATGTAGCCATAATTTCTATATCTCAAATATCTAGACGGCTGATTTCAAGGTAGAATGGCGTGAAGCTATATTCGTGGATTGTTAGCAGCTTTTTGCACGTCTACAGAAGCTGTAGCACCAATTGGACGGTAGGAGGAGTTAGAATTAACCTAAAACATTTAAAGGAAAATCTAAGATTATACACATTTTTGTTTTTAATGTTTGCTAAGAAATCGACCCTCATTAGTCATTTTTATTTGTTCCAGTTTTTATAATTTTACTTTTTGGTTTTACTTTTGTTTATTCTTACAGTGGGGCAAAAAAGTATTTAGTCAGCCACCAATAGTGCAAAGTTCTCCCACTTAAAAAGATGAGAAAGGCCGGTAATTTTCA